GCGGAAACGGCGGACGAGCCCCTGGAGATACTGTCCCGGGTCCTGTTTAAGCTACCCTTTCATGTGCTGGATAAGATGCTGCACGGCTCTACCGAGCGTTCCTCCTGGAACCCGGAGAGCTTGGTTAATGCCATAGGCGAAGCCATCGAAGCACGCGAAGAATGGCGGCGCAAGGCAATTGATGACATCAAGACGTGGAATTGGCTGGACAGCGACGAGATACTGACGATGCTCCGGAAGCCTGAGCCGCCACGCGAGGAAGGCCCGGCTAATCGCTGGAGCGTTTTGGGATGGCGTGAGAGGATTGTGACTTTGAATAACATTGATGGGCCGCAGCTGGAGCGCTCATGGTCTCCTCTGGGAGACGTTGCTCGCTTGGACGATTCCGTGGGTAGGGTTTAAGGTAATTACCAATAACGAGTTATGAATGGGGTTCGAAAGGCACGGCGAATCGGTTTGCTTTTGGCACCAGACACAAAACGGGTGCCTGTACGGTAGTAGCATTTAGGGCAGATGCAGGCCTCGGTTCGCCAGTCTGTCTCAATATTAGTATTCATCGTCTTACCTTGCTCATTGTGCCCAAACTCGTGGTGTAGCAGAATTTACAGCCAACATGTTTGTGATGCCGCAATGCGTGGATCTGCGGAACACGGCCCGGCATGGCCAATGACTCATAAAATAAAGTTAAAACGAAAACTTTCAAATAAAAGATTAACCAGGTTCTCTGCTATGCATCCAGAGCTGAGGGCATCGGCAACCTTGTGGTCATACACCACATACCTGCAGTGGGATTTTCGCTGCTGTTGATCTACTAAAGGAATGCCGTGCTGGCTTATAATGGGGCTTGTAGCTGGGCATGCTTCTTCATTATCATGTGCACTGGGACATGATGGCACCCTGACAGGGGAAGCCATGATTTTGGACTAAGCTGAGACGCCTCTATATTTAGGAACTTGAAGCACTTGTAAGAGAAAATCATGCATTTGGGGCAGATAGCAGGGTCTCGGAGCCGGGACAGGCATTAAAAAAAAAGATATACCTGATACTAAGGCCTCTCCTCCGGTACCTTTCCGTGAAACAAGTCGTGGCGATTCAATCATGGAGCTTGTTTAGCCTTGACCATTGGGAGCCAGAGTCTTGCCTTACTCATCATAGCCGCACGGGCACGGATGCAGCGGTACTAACCCGATCCCATCCAATTAAATAGCGCCCCGATTTCTTCCTCGTGCCGAAACCCCCTACATTTTTCGGCAATTCCTGCTGAAGCCTCGCAAAACAATCTCCTCTACAACCTCAAATCAAATCAAATCAAGGGATGCTTCCTCACGCGGCATAGCTCCCATACCTCATCAAATCTCCCATTATCCCCTACCTGCTTGCGCCGCTGGCATCGCGCAGCTCTAATTTCCCACCATGCTGAGGAATTCCTTCTGCAGAGCAAGCTCCCAGCTGCTCTCCTCGGTCCGACACCAAGCCACCATCTCCCCCGTCCGATCTTCATCATGGAAGGTCGCAGCAGCCCGTCGCTCCATGGCCCTCGCTGGCCAGCGCTCATCCTACGCGACCAGCGCCGTCCAGTCGCCCCCCGACCCCAGTGACAACTTCCTCTCTGGGAACACGGCCAACTACATCGATGAAATGTACATGGAGTGGAAGAACGACCCCCAGAGCGTCCACGTCTCCTGGCAGGTCTACTTCAAGAACATGGAGAGCGGCAACATGCCCATCTCCCAGGCTTTCCAGCCTCCCCCCAACCTGGTCCCCAACATGACCGGTGGCGTCCCGCGCCTCGCTGGCGGCCTGGCCATGGACGATGGCTCTGATGTCACCAACCATCTCAAGGTCCAGCTGCTTGTCCGCGCCTACCAGGCTCGCGGCCACCACAAGGCCAACATTGACCCTCTGGGCATCCGCAACAGCGCCACCGGCTTCGGCAATGTCAAGCCCAAGGAGCTGACCCTCGAGCACTACCAGTTCACCGAGAAGGACCTGGACACCGAGTACACCCTCGGCCCTGGCATTCTCCCCCGCTTCAAGAGGGAAGGCCGCGAGAAGATGACGCTCCGCGACATCATCGCTGCCTGCGAGAAGATCTACTGCGGCTCCTACGGTGTCGAGTTCATCCACATTCCCGATCGCGAGAAGTGCGAGTGGCTGCGCGAGCGTCTCGAGGTTCCCCAGCCCTTCAAGTACTCGATTGACGAGAAGCGCCGCGTCCTCGACCGCCTGATCTGGAGCTCCAGCTTCGAGTCGTTCCTTGCCACCAAGTACCCCAACGACAAGCGATTCGGTCTCGAGGGTTGCGAGACCCTGGTGCCTGGTATGAAGGCCCTCATCGATCGCAGTGTCGACTACGGTGTCAAGGATATCGTCATTGGAATGCCTCATCGTGGCCGCCTCAACGTTCTCAGCAACGTCGTGCGAAAGCCCAACGAGTCCATCTTCAGCGAGTTCGCCGGCACCAGCAGCGCCGAGGAGGGCTCCGGTGACGTCAAGTACCATCTGGGCATGAACTTTGAGCGCCCCACGCCCTCTGGCAAGCGCGTGCAGCTGTCCCTCGTCGCCAACCCTTCCCATCTCGAGGCTGAGGATCCCGTGGTTCTCGGCAAGACCCGAGCCATCCAGCACTACAACAACGACGAGAAGAGCCACAGGACCGCCATGAGCGTGCTGCTGCACGGTGATGCTGCCTTTGCCGCCCAGGGCGTCGTCTACGAGTGCCTCGGCTTCCACTCCCTGCCCGCCTTCTCTACCGGAGGTACCATCCACCTGGTTGTCAACAACCAGATTGGTTTCACCACCGACCCGCGTTTCGCTCGCTCGACCTCGTACTGTACCGATATTGCCAAGGCCATCGATGCCCCCGTCTTCCACGTCAACGCCGACGACGTCGAGGCCGTCAACTACGTTTGCCAGCTCGCTGCCGACTGGCGCGCCGAGTTCCAGCACGACGTTGTCATCGACCTTGTCTGCTACCGCAAGCACGGCCACAACGAGACGGACCAGCCCTCCTTCACCCAGCCCTTGATGTACAAGCGCATCCAGAGCAAGGAGCCTCAGATCGATGTCTACGTGAACAAGCTCCTGCAGGAGGGAACCTTCACCAAGGAGGATATCGAGGAGCACAAGCAGTGGGTGTGGGGTATGCTCGAGGAGAGCTTCACCAAGTCCAAGGACTACCAGCCCACCTCCAAGGAGTGGACCACGTCCGCCTGGAACGGCTTCAAGTCTCCCAAGGAGCTTGCCACCGAGGTTCTCCCTCACCACTCCACGGCCGTGGACTCCAAGACGATTGAGCACATTGGAACTGTCATTGGATCCGCTCCCGAGGACTTCCAGGTTCACCGCAACCTGAAGCGTATCCTCAACAACCGCTCCAAGTCGGTTCTCGATGGCAAGAACATTGACTTCCCCACGGCAGAGGCGCTGGCTTTCGGTTCTCTGGTCACCGAGGGCTACCACGTCCGTGTTTCTGGTCAGGATGTTGAGCGAGGTACCTTCTCTCAGCGTCACGCCGTGTTCCACGACCAGGAGACCGAGGCTACCTACACTCCTCTCCAGCACATCAGCAAGGACCAGGGCAAGTTTGTCATCTCCAACTCGTCTCTCAGCGAATTTGGTGCTCTCGGCTTCGAGTACGGCTACTCTCTGTCTTCTCCCAACGCCCTTGTCATGTGGGAGGCCCAGTTTGGTGACTTTGCCAACAACGCTCAGTGCATCATTGACCAGTTCATTGCTTCTGGCGAGGTGAAGTGGATGCAGCGCACTGGCCTCGTCATGTCGCTGCCCCACGGCTACGACGGACAAGGGCCCGAGCACTCCTCCGGCCGTCTGGAGCGCTACCTGCAACTTTGCAACGAGGATCCCCGTGTGTTCCCCTCGGAGGAGAAGCTTCAGAGGCAGCACCAGGATGCCAACATGCAGATTGCATACATGACCACTCCTGCCAACCTTTTCCACATTCTTCGCCGACAGATGCACCGCCAGTTCCGCAAGCGTAAGCCATACCCTTTCCCCTTTGCCCCCTTGCCCCCCCACGCCCCCAGTCTTCTGTCCCTTGGTGCCCCTTTTTACTAACTTGGCCTTTCTCTCTCGCAGCCCTGGTCATCTTCTTCTCCAAGTCCCTGCTGCGTCACCCTCTGGCACGCTCGGATATTGAAGAGTTCACCGGCCCCAACGCCGGCTTCCAGTGGATCATCCCTGACCCCGAGCACGAGACGGCAGCCCTCAAGGCGCCCGAGGAGATTGACCGCGTCATTCTCTGCAGCGGACAGGTCTGGGCTGCCCTGCACAAGTACCGTGCTGACAACAAGATCGACAATGTCGCCCTTACTCGCATTGAGCAGCTGAACCCCTTCCCCTGGCAGCAGCTAAAGGAGAACCTGGACATGTACCCCAATGCCAAGACGATTGTCTGGGCCCAGGAAGAGCCCCTAAACGCTGGTGCATGGAGCTTCACCCAGCCCCGTATCGAGACTCTGCTCAACGAGACCAAGTACCACGACCGCAAGCACGTCATGTACGCCGGTCGCAACCCCAGCGCGTCTGTCGCAACGGGTCTGAAGGGTGTGCACACCAAGGAGGAGGCCGAGTTCCTGAAGATGGCCTTTAGCGTCACTCAGGACAAGCTGAAGGGAGAGTAGATTTAAGCGAGTGGTTAGCATATCCGGAGCGGGAGGGATGCGCTTGTATTTTGTATTTGTGTTACTATAGGGAAATAACATGGAGCGTGGCTGATGGGCCACTGCATAGTTGTATGTTATACTCATCACGAGCCACCTGCCGTGTTCATTCTGGTCATTCTCCTATGTTGGTAGTGTAATGGAGGGTTCCTTGACTATATAGACTTGCCGACGGATGTTTACATCTTGTCCAATACCGACACATTTCCTCATCTGGGGCGAACAAGGGCTGTCGGAAGCACAAGGTTAGGTTGAAAGGCAAAAATTAAAACATGATGAAACAACAACCAAAGGGTAGAGAAGCAAAAGAATATCGCCAGCTCGAACCCGGATTTGAACCAGGGACCCTCTGAAGACTTGGGACACCCTCGCTGCAGTCAGATGCTCGTACCGCTGAGCTATTCGAGCTTTGGCCTAGTGAGCGGTGAGGAATACTGGGGCCTAGTATCCCTATAAACTTGCCGACGACACGTAGCCAGGTCCCGGCTGCACTGCTGCTGCTTGTCTGATGTATCAGATCCGCTGCCGTATGGTGCGCGAGTGTGCAGCCTTCAAAATGTGGCTTTTGTTTTATTTTATTGACATTCGATCTTGGCCAGGAAAGATGGAGTCAGGTCGAGGCTAGGTGGGTGTCGATGCTGGAACGTGCACAGTATCATGCCGGGCCGGCGCCGATATCGGGTGGGGCTGCCCCGGGGCTGCTTTCGGCACACACACCGGAGGGCCGGCTGGGGCTGCTTTCGGCACACACACCGGAGGGCCGGCTGGGGCCGTTCCGAACAGGTCACCATGTAGCGTCCTTGTATGGAATGTACATATATGTAATGACATCACCAACACCTCCCACGTTTTGCTTCGCTTGCTCACCCGCCCTGCATCTCCCCAAGGGATGCGACCCAGGTTCCGACAAAACCTGTTTTGCAATGCCACCGAAGCAAAGGCGGCCGAACAGCGCCACCAAGCCATGGACATCCCCTCGTGGCCCCTCATCGTAGCTCGACAGATGAGGCGCGCACTATATTAGCTCGCAGCCTCCACGCCCCAATCCCGACCCCGATCCCGACTTTGTGGCGCAGAATCAATACGATCCCGCACGTGTCCCTTGCCAAGTTTTCCTTGTCGACGTCCGCGAGCGCCCATTGCCTGCGCACTGCTGTGTGGTCAGCCCACTTGCTCCGGATTCTCTGCACCAGCCAGCAGCTATCACCTCGTATGATAAGTAGGATAGAACAGCTCTTGTAATAGTCACGATGATGTTTGTAGGCTCCACCGCACCTTGACTTGAGGCTCCAACACTTTTTTATTCCCGTAGCCTGTGACCATGCCCTGAATGGATGTGCCAACAAAGACTCAGCCGCATGGTCCATGATGAGCCGTCTATTGGTCCATTTGTTTGCAACCATCATTCCATGACATCCGACTGGTCTCGTGTTCACTGTCTGCTAAAACACATGCCTCGATCCCGCCACATCAGCCTCGGAGGTTTGGTGATGCAGTACCACGTCTTGGCAGCCCCATCCCGGTGGTACGGCTCGGCGGAGGTCCATCTCCTCGCGGTAAGAGAGGGTCTGGCCAGGGGGGGCTCCAGATTAAGGTTCATGACGATCCTGGTTTGGCAAAGGTCCGGCTCGTCGGGGGGCATCAGCTTTTACGTACTGGTAGACCATTGCTGCACGTCAGGTCACAGCGGGGAAGTCGGGATACGAGTTTTCATCTCGAGGACTACTACTCGTCGTGGACGTCGACCGTGTCTGGTTGGTGGCTTGGTCTCGAAATCTTCCACGTCGAGGGTGGTGTGCACCTAAAATAGACATAAACAAAGGAAACCGTCGAGGGGCATGTCTGTCCCGGCTCTACCTTCACCAGTTATGAGTCCAAGCAACATCACTTGTTGTAGTATGGTGTGCCATAGAGTTTGTTCCACGACGTCCCGATATCGTATAGAAGGCCCCGTGTCATCCTACCACACCTCCTCCATGACTGAAGCCGTCCCCTGCTGACTGCCTTCTTCCCCGCAACCCAAATACTTCTTCGAGCTCCGTTTTCGATGCTTAAAGTTAAGATTCAATGCAACTGCCAATAGATTGTAAACCGTATGCATGGCATCTCGTATCGAGTTAGATCGTACATCATGGATTGTTGCTGCCCCATCACCACCAGGGTGGGCTACCCAACGTGCCATCATGGCTTGCCATGTATGATGAAGCGTGGGCCACAGTCGGTCCGTCGCTTCTCGCGTCTTGCGGGCCTATGTGCGGCTGTGTGGCACCAGTCTTTGTACAGAATCAACCAAGCTAGCATATCAGGTCAACCGGTAAGCTCCGACTTCTCGGTGAGAGAGCAGATTAATTATTGGGAGTCGAATCTGGGGGAGAGGAGGGCCAGTGGCTTCAAATCGGCACGTCGCTCAGCCTTACAAATTACGCTCCTGTTCCTGCCATTGACTGTCCAATAGTAGCCATTGTGTGCGAGCGGCCGACCCTGATCGATCCCTGATCCAATCTCCTCATCGACATCAAGCTTTGATGAGGAGAAGTGGAACGAGCTGAGATGTGTCTACTCGAACTTTAACAGAGCATCAACCATATATAGTCTCCTCGGACTCGCTATAATTGGCCCATATTTGCGGTTCTAATGCATCTAGATGACCACAAGATGCACAGAGCGGTCCTCACAACACAGCTGGATCATCAACGCCATGTTCTAGCCATCATTAGCGTATGTAAACGAAGCCATTGCAGGGGTTTGAATGCAATGAGCTCGTCAAAATGAGCAGCCTGTGATGGCATGAAGCTGCTGGCCTGCATATGGTCTGGCAATAGAGTTATGCGCCAGAGATGGAGATCTCGTGATCAGCTCTGGCAGACACGAGCTTCTCCCTCGGCTTTATTCGTCTCTAGAGAGTCGTTCTGAGCATAAATAGGACGTTCTGGACTCTCGAAGGAGTGGCTTTCTGAACCATCAGAGATCAGTCTCTTGTCATTCGCTTCAGATAGTGGCCTGTTCCAATCTCTACTTGAAGACACTTCGATACTGAGGTCAGTCTCGCCACCATGAAGGGACTTCTCGTTCACATTCCTGTACTTCTGGGCCTTGCCCAGGTTGTTTTGTCCGCCCCTCAGCCAGACGCCGAGCCAGATGGCCCCTGGGGTGTACAGTGCCACTGGCCGCAGATCAAGTGTGGCAATACTTGCGCAAAGCTCTCCTCCGACTCCAACAACTGTGGCTACTGTGGACACAAGGTGAGATATACACGACCGAATGATTCTCTTGAACAATATTAACACAATGGTTCTCCCATGAACAGTGTTGGGGCGGTAAGAGTTGCGTGTTCGGAGTCTGTGTCCCATTTTGCAAGGCCCCGACCGTCAGATGCAACAAGGACTGTGTTGACACATCGTCTGATGTGAATAACTGCGGTGGCTGCAACAAAAAGGTAAAGTGTATCAACCACTTAATCACTGAAGCAGCACGCTAATCGTCCTGTCTCTCCTCCAGTGTCAGTATGGCCAGCAGTGCATCTCAGGACAATGCAAGAAAAAGTGCCCGGGCAACACCAAGCTTTGCGGCAGCCAGTGCGTTGACACAAAGTGGGATGAGCACAACTGCGGCAATTGCTGGAACAAGTGCCCCTGGGGACAAAGGTGCCAATGGGGCCAGTGCAAGCCCAAGCAACCCGTCTGCGAGAAGCCCAAGACGCAGTGCGGAAAGAACTGCGTCGATACCAACACTGACACTGGGAACTGCGGCAGCTGCTGGAACAAGTGCCGTCCCTGGGAGAAGTGCGAATGGGGTCGCTGCAAGCCCAAGGGACCTGTCTGTCCATGGGGCCAGAAGTGGTGTGGTGGCAAGTGTGTTGATATCAACACGGATGAATGGAACTGCGGAAAGTGCGGTAACAAGGCAAGTTTCTCGGGTGTCTCGAGGCGCAGAGAGTTGAGCTAACATACAACTTTCAGTGTCCCTGGGGCCAGCAGTGTATGCAGGGCACTTGCAAGCCTGTTTGCCCTGGAACGCAGACAAAGTGCGGCAACGACTGTGTTGACCTGCAGACCAACGACTGGAACTGCGGTAAATGTGGCAACAAGGTAGGCCGACTTAATGCTCAAGAAGATGTGATGGTTATGCTGATACACGCATCAAGTGTCCTTGGGGTCAAGACTGTATACAGGGCATATGCAAGGCCAAGCAGCCCGAGTGTCCTGGCGGTCAGACCAAGTGTGGCAAGGATTGCGTTGACCTGCAGACCAACAATTGGAACTGCGGTAAATGTGACAACAAGGTAAGACGGTTTGACATCTAGGAAGATACGATGGTTGTATTGACATATACTCCTAGTGTCCTTGGGGACAGGACTGCATAAAGGGTGTATGCAAACCCAAGCAGCCCGAGTGTCCCGGCGGCCAGACCAAGTGTGGCAACGACTGCGTTGATCTCCAAACCAACGATTGGAACTGTGGCAAATGCGGCAACAAGGTGAGTCCATTGCGCATCTCAGAGGAAACAGCCGTGCTGATTCACGCGCACAGTGCCCTTGGGGACAGGACTGCATAAAGGGTATATGCAAACCCAAGCAGCCAGAGTGTCCTGGCACTCAGACCAAGTGCGGCAACGACTGTGTCGACCTTCAAACCAACGAGTGGAACTGCGGTAAATGCGGAGTCAAGGCAAGTTGCCGTCTTTGATATCGGTTTGCTCACCAGCATGCTGACGGGTTCGCAAAGTGCCCTTGGGGTCAGAAGTGCAAGGAAGGCGTTTGCAAGCCAGAGGGACCGGTGTGCACACCACCGAAGCAGCAATGCGACGGTAACTGCGTTGACGTTACCTCGGACAACAACTATTGCGGCGACTGTCACACCAAGGTATGTAAAGACTTATCTCCCACGCAGCAGGCATGTGCTTACTCCTATCTACTACCAGTGTAAGCAAGGGCTCGAGACGTGCAAGGGCGGCAAATGTGTGCCAGTTCCGCCTACGTGCACTCCCCCGAAGAAGGCGTGCTCTGGACAGTGTATCGACGTGAGCTCTGACAACAAGAACTGTGGTGACTGTGGCAAACAGGTATGTTGGATTCTTCTTTCCAAGGATGCGGTCACTAAAGAATATAATAGTGCGATTATGGATCGACATGCCAGGGAGGTAAATGCAGCCCTCCTCAATGTCCAGCGCCAAAGAAGACGTGTTCCGGACAGTGTATCGACGTGAGCTCGGATAACAAGAACTGCGGCGACTGTGGCAAACAGGTAGGCGGGATATCGTTCCTAATAATGCAGACACTAAGATATGACAGTGCGATTATGGATCGACTTGCCAGGGAGGAAAGTGTACTCCTCCTCAATGTCCGGCGCCCAAGAAGACATGCTCTGGGCAGTGTATTGATGTGAGCTCGGACAACAAGAACTGCGGTG